AGGTTTATAGAGCATGTCGTTCCCATTCATATAAGTAAAATTTACACAATATTGTCTCTCCAAGTCCAATTAGAATAAAGAAAAATCTTTGATTTGCTTCACATATTCGAGTTTGAAACTAAGGTTTCCGCCGTATCTTCCAATCTTAAAAGAAGCGAATAAATAATTTAATAAATTTTGACATTGGACAATTTGGAGTTTTGGACTTGTAATTTCATATATTGAAGATTAAGAGTTTTGATTTTTATGTAACACTAAACTTGGTCTTACATTTAAGATTAAGAGTTTCAATTTCTATTAGGTTATATTAATAGTTTATATTTAATTTACTAATTATTAAATTAATATGAATAGTGACATTATATTTTATTTATGTTTGAGAATAAATCATATTTAATTTAATTGTCAAGGATTTTTCGGGGTAGATCGGGTAATTTACGGGTTGGATTTTTTCAAGTAGACGGATAATTTTCGGGGGCGACAATATGTGGGGTCGGGGTGAGGACCTGCGGGGACACACACACCCCCAACCCCGACCCACACCCACTAATGCAGAATAAAATTCTACTCGTGTCCACCCCCATACCCGAAAAAGTGAGGGAATCCCCGACCCATTTGGGATGAATCCTTGGCGGGGCGGGTAAAACACCCATTTCTACTACCCATGGATGGGTAAAACTGAACAATTTTTTTTATAACAGAAATATTTATCTTATCTTATCTTATTATTAAATGGATAAAATGTTACTCTTTTGTGAGGCAATTTCTCTTAAAAAAGAAAGGAAATATAATCATATAATATTAGACTTAAAATTAGTGGGCAAGCACTGATTAATTATTGTCTCATTTATAATATTGGCCAGTGGCAATTAATGTATGTGACACAAACATTTGTAACTGCTAAGTTTTTGATGACATAAAAGCATTGTCTTGCTCCAAATTTTTGATAAAAACAAGACCCGGCTGCATTATAGCACATGCATGCACCCCTCTTTAATTTAATTTTCCTTTCAATTGCTGCACTGTCTTTTGTTGTCTTAATTAATAATAATATTAATGGCACAGAAATTGATGGAAAAAGAAATTTTAATTAATTAAATTAAGGCAATCCCAGTTACAATTGCCCCATTACGGTAGAAATAGAATAATCTTCTTCCATTTTGCCCCCACATTGTGTTTTAATAATTAGATTTTTTTTTTTTTTCATAAAAATAAAGGAAAAAGAGAAATTCCCATTTAGAAAAGGCTTTGAAACAACATTGGTAATTTTTTTCCTTCTCAATATAAAAAACAATTAAAAGAGAGATATTTCCTTTGGAAATGGCATTCTATTGAGTTAAATAGCATTTTATTTTATTAGAAATTGTCGTATACTGTAACGACAAACGCTTAGATTTCATTAAAATTATATCATTAACTATCAGATATTCATTGAAAAGTATATAGATTAATTGGTTGACTATTGTAGTAAATCCATTATGGTTGTTGTCTTCATGATTCGAAACTCATGTCCAAGGGACATTATTGTTGCGTTTAGCCTATTTTCAATGGTAGTTATAGAAGTTTTCAATCATACATTCATCATTAGTGTTTTAGGAACACGATAAATTTATAATTCGGTAATTTGTTGAATCTTATAAAAGATAAGAGTAATATTATATGTACAAACAAGTCTTACAAAGATTTGTATATAAACTAATGTGGCACAAAATAAATGAAAGAGTGAATATGATAAATTTGATTTTTCATATTCACTATTCCATTCATTTTATACCACATTAATTTGTACATAAATTTTTGTAAGATTTGTTTGTACATCTAGTATTATTGAAAAGATAAGAATGTCTCAGAATTTTCCAGATATTTGACTTATATTTAAAGTACCAACCCAAAACTTTTCCAAAGTTAAAAAAGATTTTATGATGATTAATACTCAATTATCATTTAATTTATTTTCAAAAGAATATAATTGATAGTATTACGTTGGAAATTAGAAAACATGAACAATAGAGCAACATTCTATTAATTTCTCTTTCAATATATAAACGAAAAAAAAAATTGTAACACAATAACAGTAGAAAATGAGATCGATCGATCAACCATTGTTAAGTTATTATTGTTTATGAACTGATGAAATTAATCAAATATTGTTGTAAATAATGGATTTGATCCAGTATGTATGACCATTTTTTATTTACTTGATGCAAATTTGAGTTAATTAGGACAATAAATAATTAATACTGAGAAAATTAATCACTTAATTATACAGATTAATTTTCTGAATTCTAATTAGAGAAAGAAGTAATTAATTAACATATATTATCTCTTTATTAATAAGCTGAATGAGAACTGAGTACTGCAACTCTAAAGACAAACTCGTGAAAATGAAACCCTGGATTTTTCAGTACTGAAGCTAGAACTTCAAAAACCTAATTTCAGCTTCAAGCTGACTTTCTCAGCATTCTTAGAATGAAGCTTCAACTCTAAGTCCAAATCATCACTCTCGTCGTCCTTCTCTGGTTCTCGAGTAAAAAGATCTAATGTGACTCTCTCAGTTGATGATGATGATGAAAACATCTTTGAAGATCCAGCCCTAGGGCTCCATAACCCTAAAAGATCTTTGGTCTGAAGCTGCAACTGCTTCTTCTTCTTCTTCTCCTGAGGCTTGTAAGAAGATGACGATTCATTTTTGCAAGTGAGCTCGGCAGCGTCATCCGGTGGCTGAGCTTTGGCGAGCCGTGGTGGTGATGGTGGACGTTCATCGTCATCCTCGTCTGAGGAAATGTGATGGGCTAAAACTGCAGCGAGTACGGGATTCATGGGTGGCGCACCTTTCTTCCTCCGGATAGGCCTTTTTTTCCTGTGGGCGATCTGGTGGCCACCGCGAGCACGGCTAGATTTGAACACCCTTGAACAATTCTGGCACTTGTAGACATCAATATCAAGGACAGAGTTACTAGCAGTAGTAGTAAGTTTGCTTTCAGCAGAGCTTGCTTCTGCTTGCATGGTGAAAAACTAGGGCAAAAACTAAAGAAAAATTAACGACACAAAATCAAAAAGAGTTGCAGAGAATCAAAGAAACTCAAAACGGAGGTGATGATGAAAACAAGAAGATGAGTTTCTGACAATGAGAAAATGAGCAAGTGAGAGGTATGTATTTAAAGGAAATTTCGGACTTGAAATTGGGTTAAATTCAATTCAATTTAATTAAATTCAATATTAATTTAATTAAGTAATTAAGTTTTAGAGACAAATGTCACTAATTTTTTCTAATATCTTAGTGTGTAATTTTGGATTATGTGTAGTGTTTTTGCCTTCATGCATTGGGCAAATAGTTTCTAAGTATGGCAAAGCTTTTTGTTCATTAGCCAACTAAAATATTTAATTATGAGGCTGGTGTTTAATTAATTAGATACCTTTTTTTTTTTTCTGCTCAAGATAATATGGTAATTAATTTATATGATAATGTCACACATCAAATATCAAGTTTGGATACAATGTTGCATTGCCAGTGTATTTTACACTGATTTAATTTATATTCGTATTTACATTTACAATTCTTACGTTATAATTTTAAGAGTTTTACTTTCACGCATCAGTTTAACTATATATATCATAGAAAAACCTTGAAATATTATATCATGTTATAGATTGAGTGTGGCTGATCATCCTCTCAGACCAGCTATTGAATACTGATAATCGTCTTGGTAAACTATTATCTCATTAACTATCTAATCAGACGCGAGCCCGTCCTCGGGCAGATTTCTCCTTTTGCTCCATAGCCTACAGGGTATTGACAGTTGTTCTCAGTTGTTGTTCCCCTCCCAAGGGCAGGTTCTTACACGTCTCACCCGTCCGCCACTAGAAACACTAGTTCCCATCTGACTTGCATGTATTAAGCATGCCACCAACATTCATTCTGAACCAGGATCGAACTCTCCATGAGATTCAGTTTGTTCTATGGGTGCCATTCTTAGAGGATAGCAATTTAATTTTCTCTTCATTAATTTTCTTCGAATATTATCGTATCAGTACAGCCATATATACTATAGAAATATTGTTTGACTTCTTCATTAATATTCATGAAAATCTATAATTAGAATATTATTAGCAAGAGCACAGACTTCATATACTTTTATATATTGTATAGAACAGAAAGATTTACATTTGAAACCAAGACAACAAAACACAAGACAAGAACAATAACATAAATTAAAGAACAAAAAGCATAATTAATTAACACATAATTATTTGTAATTAGGAGGTTTAATAATTATTAGAGCTTCAGAGTCAAGTCCAGGTCATCAATTTCAGCTCCATTAATGGCGCCCCTTGAACTCGAAGAAGCTTCACCTTTCTCATCACTCATCAGTTTCAGCTCTGGAAGAACAACGTCCTCCTTCTTCCAAACTTCTCCTTCCTCATTTGAAAACGCCACAACCTCAATCTCCTTCACGTACTCATCATCACCATCATTGGATTCACCCAAATACTTCAGAAAAAAATTTTCATACTTCTTCATCGTCTCTTCAGTCTCCCACAAATACACAATCTCATCTTCAACAAACTCATCACCAAACCCGAACCACGGCAATGACGCCACCTCACCTGTCCCGAACCCGTTTGGTTTCGCCGCTGGCTTGGCCAAGTAGTCAATGATTTGGTTCTGTTCTTCAACTTGGCTCCCGTGATCGTTGGGGTAAAGAACCGGGTTGTCTTCGATGGCTCGAAAGACGCGTTCCTCCATAGCGACTCGTCGCTCTTCGAGGCGCTCTCGCCTGTGGGCGTTCTGGTGGCCGCCCAAGGCGTTTGGGGTGGGGAAAGTCTTTTTGCAGCGGTTACACATGAAGGCACGGCGGCGAATGTTGACGTGCTTCAGCCATGTGTCTTTGACTGCTCCGATGTTTGAGCTTCCGGCGGAATTGGGTGTCGCTGCTGCCATTTTTGTGAGCTTGAAGAGTGAAGAGATTGAGATTTGAATGTGAGAGTCACTCAAATGGATGGAAGAGGTGCCTGGTTTATAGGGTTTTTATAGAATTTTCTTTTATCATCATTTATTTATTTTTCTTTTTTGCCATGTGCTTTTTAGATAAATTTATTAAGAGAATAAATAGTTAAAAATTTTGATAATTTTAATAGATTTTAACGTTTTCCTTTTTATAAGATGTAAGAGTGTAATAATACTACTTCNAGTTGTCCACATGAAGTTCTGTGTGGTTATGCTTTGTATTTTCTTGATCGTTATGTTATTGCTTTCCCTTGGTATTTTATGATAACTTGTTTACCAGTATGCAGAGAGAATAGACTGCTTCCTTCAATCAGGATGTCTGTTGCCATGTTATATCTTTTCCCTTTCTTTTATATGTATTGAACAATTCTTGATACACGTGATTGCTATTTGTATTGTCCTGTATTATAGAACAATTCTTGGTATATTTAATAGCTATTTGCATTGCACTGTTGAATGGTTTACCCAGCCATTTTGAATTGAATCTCAGCACTCTTATATAACCTATTTGTATTTCACTTGTGTAATGTTTGCTGGTATTGCAGGTTGCAATTGAGACCGCATCATTCAGCAAGTATGCTGGGTTCACAGGGGTTCGTCTGGGTTGGACTGTGGTTCCAAAAGAGCTTTTATTTTCTGATGGATTTCCTGTTGCCAGGGACTTCAACCGAATTGTATGCACTTGCTTCAATGGTGCATCAAATATCTCCCAAGCTGGTGGTTTTGCTTGCCTTTCACCAGAAGGCCTTCAGGTCAGTGTCATTTTAGTTTTTCGAAATGCAGCCAAACTTCATTAAAGAAACAAGAAGGTTCCATTTTGTTTTAGTTGACGGAATTACTCTCTGTCTCTCTGATTTCTTTTAATGGCCTCGCTGGCATACAGCACATTGTTGTTAATACAGCACTTATAGTTTTATGCACTTCAAAAATTTGCAGGCTATGCATGAGGTGGTTAGTTTCTACAAAGAAAATACTGATATCATAGTGAAGACCTTTACTTCTCTTGGATTTAATGTGTATGGAGGGAAGAATGCACCATATGTGTGGGTTCATTTCCCCGGCCGAAGTTCATGGGATGTGTTCGGTGAGATTCTTGAGAAAATTCATGTGGTTACCACACCTGGTAGTGGTTTTGGACCTGGTGGTGAAGGTTTCATCAGGGTTAGTGCCTTTGGCCACAGAGGAAATATTTTAGAAGCCTGCAAAAGATTCAAGCAGTTGTACAATTGATCAGTGTGTCCGACTGATTCTCTTCCTTTGGACCTAACATAAGCCTGTTCTTTGTTTCGTATAGTTAGGAAACTGGGGCTAATATACAATGCAACGCAAACTCTGGAATAGCTGTTTTCTAGCATTAGCATTTTGTTCCATACTTCTTGAAAGCTGTATGGAACTATATGTATAAACACAATCAATAAGATTCATTTATTAAATCAAGCAACTATTTATTTCTTTTATGTATTTGTCCATGATAAAAACATACATAGCCAACGCTGAGCTTTCATCGCCTAATTGCAGAATGACGAAAAAAAGCTTTTGTCAACTTCAGAATATGGTATTCGAATACATTTAACTTTTGGGTTTGAAATTACTACTTCTATACCTGGAATTGACCTTAATTCACTAGATTTTATATTCTTAGTACGATGAGGGATGAAGAGATGTTTAAATATTTACGTTCGAGAAATCCTTGATGCTGTCCAAGTAAAGTATCATCGACAAGGGCATTCTAATGTGTTGAAGATTCTTATCCAAGACTTGTATAAGCAATCTGGGGTTAGTCTGATCCCTAATTAATAAACAAGATTACAAGTACTAAAACACACTTGAAACCATGAACTAGGATGCACAGGATATCTACTATTCTTAATGTTGTTTCAACTTGCAAGTACATTGTTAAATAGCGTGGAGGTTTCCTATTTTACAAAAAGTATTCACTAAACATAAGGGATGGGAACGCTATTCTGGTTGACAATATGGCTACAAAGTTCATATAATCTATTAATTTACAAAATTAGAAACCTAAAACTGTTCAATACTATTCATCATCTCAGCCTTGCAAGTTGTCTTGTAATGTCCAGTTTGGTTACACCGACTGCAATGCACTGTATGTTTTTCACGGTTAAGATCCTCAACACAGATTCGTTTCTTTTCTGGACGTCCTGGTGGTCGACGAAACTTGGGAGGTCGCACAACCTGTGTGTCATCATCTGAGCCCTCACCAATCTTTCTCCATCCAATTTTTTCAGGGATGGGATGAATTTCTTCTGCATATGTTTCTCGGTAACTGGCAACAGTAAAACATTTCTCTGTAAAGGCATATACATCTTTCCGACACGAGATGAGTGCTGCAACAGCATGTGAACAAGGTATTCCATAAAGCTGCCAATCTCGACAGGAGCAACAATGAGTCCCAATGTTCACAATCTCTGATCTCTCAGCTGATAAAACTTCAAATTCTACTTCATCTGATCTAAGGACTTGATACTTCGACGCATGGTTAATGGCTTCTATCATACGCTTTTCAGCGGATGGGGCAAGTACAGAATACCAAGAATTGCTGTTCATACGCCGGGCCAAAAATTCTGCCATTAGTTTACGGTGAATTTGCTCAATCACTTGGATTATGGGCAATTCCCGAGCTTCGAGAATCCATCTATTAAATTCCTCAATATTTGAAGAGAGTTGGCCATACCGTGTTCCTACAAAATGTACTAATGCCCAGCGGGAAGGAGGAAATTGTTGTATCCACTTTGCAGCTTCAGAAGAAATATCTTCTATTTCAGCCATTCTATCTTTAAAAGCAAGAGTAGTCGTAGCATTTGCAGCTTTCCAAAGAACATGCACAAGCCTTGAGTTCTTGAACTCTTTGCCAACACTTTCACTCAAGTAGTGCATACAGAGTGCTTGAGAAGAATTTGGAAATTTTCTCCTTATCACATCTGCAATGCCTTTCTGTCCATCTGATAAAAAAGTGAGCCTTGGCATAGTGTCAGCATTCATCTCTAAAGCCTTATGTAATTCTGACAAGAACCACATCCAGCTCTCATCGTTTTCTGTATCAACAACACCAAATGCAACTGGAAACAACCCACCATCAGCGTCAAAAGAAGTGGCTGCAAGTAAGGTACCAAGGTATTTGCTTTTTAATTGGATTCCACCAAGGCTGACAATGGGCAAGCACCCATTCAGGAAGCCATATATTGATGCATAAAAAGAAACAAAGAGCCGCTGAAAGCGATTATCTGCACTAGTAGTGAAAACCTCCGCAACGCTTCCAGGATTGGTTTTTTTTAATTGCTCACAGTGTGATGGAAGCAGGCAATATCCTTCTTCAGAAGAGCCATAAATCGCGGCAAGCCCCCTTTCCTTCGCACGCCAAGCTTGCTTATATGGTATTGTGATCCCATACTGTTTATGAATGTCATGCAATATATCCTTTGGCTTGTAATTAATATTATCTCGTAATCTTTCCTCTATGAAACTCACAATCCAATCCACAGAAGCTTGATGGTGTCCATTTTGTGCATTCTTCCCACATGTGTGTGTTCCTTCAAGGCTTCTTATGGCAAAAGTTGGGGCATTAGGGAGCTTAACTGCGCGAATGCGCCATGGACAACCTTCCGTGGCACACTTTGCAAAGTATCGAATCAGGTCACTTTTTATAATACGAAGCTCAAAATGTTGTGCAATGGCAGCTTCTTTGATTGCATTCCTGAAGGCCTTTACATCAGGAAATTCTTGACCAATGACAAAAGTATGGTCCTCCATGCAGATAGCTAACACAAAGTCAGAAGTCAACCCCTTCAATTAGATCTCCAAATGTTCAACATGTTTCTACCCGGATCAGCAAAAAGTTTGTGAAGAGTACAATTATTGGAGTGTATGTACAAGTCTAAAAGGAACATCATTTGGAATGAACATCAAAAGAAGTCTGCATGAAGACAAGAAATAACATTTAAATTCATACGGAGGAAACCATTCCTTTCATATAAGAAATTAGGGTTCACTGATGCTCACTCTAACCAAAAAGACAAAATAGAAAATGATTTCTAGCAACAAATAACACCAGAGAAACACAAACTGAAATTCATGCAAAGCAAAGAATTGACTTCCCATGTTTATGAAGATAGAGAACATAAATTTGGACTAATATCGTTTACCTTCCCCACAATTTTACTCCCTAGTTTAAAATTTGTTACAGATCTCCAATTAGCACTGCTTGACAGAACAACCAACAGTAGTGAAAATATATGATGACAATTCAACTGAAAAAATTAAAGGGCAGATCTGTGAAAAAAATTAAACCACAGAGGTCAACATTTAACCAAAATTGCCAGAAAGGTTCACGATAATATCCCTAGTCTATTTATTAAGCCTATCTATAAAACTTGATGTGTATTAATGAAATATAACAAAAAGAGAAAAAAAAAAAAAAAAAAAGACAATGCTAGGAATTTAACTTAATATCAGCATGAAATATTTATGAACTCAATTTTATTTTTGGTTGTTAAGAAATACTTGGTTTGTTTAACATCCTTTCTATAAATAAAGAAAAAGAAAAAGAAAAAATATAATACCAACACATACTAAAGTAAAATATATCAACCGCAATACCTAAATTTTGATTATAAATTCATTCAGAAGAGTGAAATCATGTTCAAAACCAAATCCAAAATGGAAACATTTTCATCTGTTAACAAAACAACCAACAAAACGGACTTCCGAAACTCAACAAAACTAGAACCCAGAAATAAAATAGATCATAAATCACATCTAACCACAAAAATATAAGAAATTAGACAAAATCTAAAGAAACCCACATACATAATTCAAAAATAATAATAATTAAAGCAAGAGTTTAATGGGAAATCTATCAGAACAAAGTAATTATGAATTTATGAGAGTACCAAGATCTGAAAGTTAAAGCTGACCTTAAATAATTTAAACAGAGGCTAAACATCCGAACATAAAAGGTCGAAACAGAGAGAGCCCAATCGGTTTAGAGACGGAACCTGAGTTCTACATTTGGTATTCTGAGAAAGATTAGGGCTGATTGGGTCACACTGAGGGTACACCTGCTATTGCCAATATTTTACGAGGGTATCTTCGCCCTGAACTAAATGAGATATTTTCTTTTTCATTTATCTAAAACTAAATCCAAATATCCAATTAGTATTTATCGATTTTGTATTTTTAGAATTATTTTAGATATTTGTATTTTCTCAGTATTTTACCGGAATTGCGGTTATATCCTCCCCGCAGTTATGACAGGCTGATAAATAATAAATTCACGGGAAAGTCATGATATGGGATAAGAAAAACTTTCCCAGTGGCCATCGAAGATGCGTCTCCCGTAACCCATGTTGTCACATCTTTTTTATTATTATTATTACGAGTTAACGACTTTTTCCCACCCGAAAAAAAGGGTTATTAAAATTTCTAGGCTCCGTTTGGTTCATAATTTTGTGTTTTTGAGAAAAGTTTTTTGAAAAAAGTTGAATTGGGCGGATATTACAATGTAGGATTTACAAATTATAAAATACCCCCTATGTTTATTTTTTTACAAAATACCCCTTATAATAAAACATTAAAAGTTAACAAAAACACCCCCAATCCACCCTCAAATACGGACAGTCGGCCACCACCGCCGGAGGGTGGCCGGAGTCGCCGTAACAAAAACATTAAAAATATTAAGGGGTATTTAATTGAATTAACAAATTTAGGGGGTTTAAAAAATGTTGAATAAAGTTGAATAATATTGTGAGTTTTAGGGTATTTTACTGTTTAACTTTTTTGGGAATACTAAAAGTAGTATTCCCAAAATCCAACCAAACGAAGCCCTAATGTTTTAAAAACCAATCGGGACAAAACCTGACAGGGTGATTAGGTCGACCGGTTTAACCAATTGAACCAACTGGTTCAATCAATGATGTCATTATGCTGACATCAACAAAACTACTTTTTAGAGAATGTTAGTTTCCAAAATTTGGCTCCAAATCATAAACTCCAGAATAAAAAATCTATAGCAAAGCATCATTAAACATCATTACACCAATAATACAATAAATTACAAATCAAAATAACAAAATGAATGAAGAAAAATCACATAATAATTGTTTCAACTTTCAAGTCAACACTTCAACATTCTAACAAAAAATGATCTTCATTCAATGGTCTTCAATCCATCATCCTATCCTCAATTAAAATTCACAATTCACACACCACCTGACAGATGATAGTCATCATTACTAACATCAACGACATCATCTACAAAAAATTCTAGCAAAAAAGGAAAACCATAAGTTAAATCTTCCCATTTAAACTAATTGAATATAAACTAGCTAATACCAAATTGAAATTGCTTAAAAAATTATAAACAACCTTCTGAAGCATCTGTTGAGTCATAATAAGAAGGGTGATCACCACCATC